GCGTCTATTGCACAGTTTTAAGCGGATGCGGTGTACGCACGGCGTAATGCAAGCACCATGTGTGGAAGGTCGACGAGACCATGGGTGGAGGTATACCGGGTTTGAGGCAAGCTTTACGATTCGACCAGCAAAGGTTGTAAAAAAAGAGGTTGCCAAATGGGAAGTCGCCGTTCAATTAGACTCGGAGGTAAGAATGTTTGACATTATGTGCTTCGTTTGTGAGCACCGACTTATCATATTATCGTTTTCTGTAGATCGCGAAGCACAACCACAAAACCAGCAAGACTAAATACGATTCGTACCGCGCTGCTAAGTCGATGCCTCTGTCGTCCAAGATTCGAGAAGACATCGGACTTTGGCGGACATGAAGGCCAGCACTGTAGATATCAGCCTATATCTTTCTGATAAGCTTGGTGGGTGCTTCTGGTGACCGTAACGAGGATGTGTCAGCCAAAGTTTTTTTTATCAATTTAAGTTAACATTGTTGTTTTATTTTTGCTTTAACAGATATGATTCTGACTTCACAGCAGAGTAGAAACATTTTGCAAGAAGTGTTGGGATCTTTAACAGTGGAGCGAACCAGGGTGCTACTGGATGCATTTGTGGAGGAGAAAAACAACGACGTTCTTCTTGTGCAAGATCAGATGGGGATTGCTTGCGTCATAGCTATGCAGACATCGCTTCAGAAGACATGCTTCGAGCAGTGGGGCGACAGTTTGGTAATGGACTGGACGCACGGTACCAACAGCTTGGGGTATCATTTGGATTAGTATGATATTTACAAATTATTATTCATTTCGTCTAACAACTACTTACAATTTATATGAATGAATTGTACACAGGTAGTTTGGTAGTTGCGTCGGCTACTGGAAGAGGCATCCCGCTTATTGATTTTCTTGCACTAGATCAAAAGGCTGTTACGATGGAGTACATTGTTGAGTTTTTCAAGCGCCACAACCCATTTTGGAAGCGAATACCAGACAATTGTTATCGACAAAGACTTTGTGGAATGGCGCGTGCTGGAAAAGGCATTCCCTCACACCAAAGTACTTTTATGTCAGTTCCACGCGCTCACGTACTGGAGGAAAGTTTGCAGAAGACCAAAATTTAACCCGAAGATGGCACAGCGGGAAATGATGGAAGCTGCGTTCGCAAAGCTCGTATATTGGTACGGAGCAGCTCACTGATATGTTGTGCTGCTTCTTATGTTGCTGACTGAGTGTGTTGCCCTTTATGTTGCTGACTCACTAGGTTGCTTCGTGTGTTGCTGAATATGACATTGGGTGGTGTTTCGAATGTACTTTCAGTACAAGTCGGAGGAGCTTCGATTTAAAGCTGGCTGAGTTCACGAAAGTCTCCAAGAAAGAGTGCCCAAAGCTACTCGAATACTTCTCGGCAAACTGAAAAACGTGCGTGTCAATGTGGGCAAATCACGTACGAAGTGAATTTTTCTCAGCTGGTAATACCACTACCAATCGAATCGAATCAAATTGGAACCCGGTAAACTTCTTCTGGGCAAAAAACCTCGACTCGACGCGACAATCAGCGGGCTTCCGGCACATCAAAGAACGGTTCTTGCTACTATGGGAACGCATGCATCAACCTCTCGTCTTTCGGGAACTGTTCCAGACTTTCTAAGTATCGTTTCCAAGCACTTAAGCCACGATTAATTAATTAAAGTACGCTCTCAATGGGACTATTTTATGGTGTATTCGATGGACTCTACGTGCACAAAGGAAAAAGGTGGAGCTGGTATGTGGAACGTTAGATCCAATTGGTACACATATGAATGTAATGATTTCGAGTGGACTTGTTCGTGCTCATTCTATTCCAGTTACAACCTACCGTGTCAGCACTTGATGTATGTTGCTGAGCATGTCCATCGTTTCGAGTATCTACCTGCCATGACTGTTCACGCACGCTGGGATATGATGGCGATGGTGGAGCTGGAGAAGGATTTCAGAGATGGTATATCCTCGCTTCAAGCTGTGGAGGCCTCGATGAAAGTAGCAGGTGCAGCTTATGAACATGATGGTTTGACTCAAAAAAAAGCGGGATCGGACGCGGTCGAAACACAACTTGATTCGGTCGAGATGGCCGAAGCGACCCATCAATATTCCGCAACACAACAAGCAACCCATGACTCAACTAAAGAAAAAAACATGATCGAAGTGGCGGTGGAGCCCAGCGTGAGCATAAACGCCGTGTCGTATATGTAAAGATGCGGCGCCGAGAGCGTGCCAACGTTGTTGTTCTGTCATCAGAAAAGAAATACTGCTATGCAAAAGCTGTGTTTGAACCTGTGATGATACATCTAGCGGAATTGTCGAGTCCAGCATTCTACTCCGCCCTGAAGGCCTGGAAAACAATAGTTAGCAGATCTCATTGTAACTATGAATTTCATTCGTGAAATGGAGAAAAGTGAGTCCGATCTGCAAAGAAATACTACAAGGGCCGAGTCGTCGCAGAGAAGTGAGCTTGGTAGTTCAACCTCACGGAATGAAACAGCTCCATCCATTGACCTTGACATCGCCACCTCTTTCATTTCGGCGAATCCTGGCGTGACGCCCGGATTAACGAAGTATTACCCGACAAAAGCCGCGGTCGCGGTAGAATTTGCGGAAGAACCACCCAGTGTGAAGAATGATTACCCCCCCCCCCAAACGCTGCAGTAAAGGCAGAAGCGACCAAGAAAAGATAAAAAAAAAGTTGGAACACAAGGAGGCCGTCTGGAAGTGCTACGTATTCCAAAACCCAAACCACGAAGCAACCAGCGAAAAAAACTAAAGCAAGCTCGGCTGGAAATACTCGCAAAGCCTTATAAGCTAGCCGTTATTACGTTACCGGACAAAAATGTGCCATCTGTGTCTCGCGTCATCGTGTGGGCAACAAATACTTCCGACCAGAATCATGTCAGCGAGATCTTGGCAGGTTACCCAACGATCTTGGACGACGATTTCATGAATGCGCGTGTTGCACACAGCTGTCGAGAATCTGTCTCTCCCAAGGACTACGTCTACAACTTTGTGATTCTCAAACCGCTAGTAATTAAGCTGAAAGCGGTCATTGAAGCAGAACGGAAGAAGCGACCCAAGTCGAAGTATTTCAACGCCGTGGTTGAGCACCAGGACAGCAACACCGAAGCAATTATTGCATATTTTCCTGGTGGAACGCCACTATTTATAAGGTAAGCTTTTGTTGTGTTGCTTGTTGTGTTGCCCGGTGTGTTGCTCGGTGTGTTGCTGTGACTGACTTGCTTCTACAATGTTGTTGGCTGCTGTACGAATCCGTTACAACAGTGAAGCCGTCTTCAAAATGTCGGAGTTTTACAACGTGGTAAAAACGATTAACGCCTGGAGAGCTGACATGGAATGACTGTAAACGACCGAGTGGAGCAATATCCTTGCAAACCCCGAGTTGTTTAAAGCGGAGACTGATTCGGACGACATATTCTTACTGTCGGCGGGAGAAAAACATTAGGAGCTGGCAAACGAAGTGGTGGTACAGCTCGAGGGTGCTTGTTTACGTTCTACTTTCCGACTATCAGGTGATGAAGGCACTGTTAAGGTCGACTCGCTTGTTTGATAGCTTGCGCGTGACAGAATGCTCTCTGATGTCATTTTCAATTTCAGTGTTCGATGCATCTGCGATGCGCTGGGAGATTGTTACGCATTTGATTCACTTTCTCCAACTATGGGCTGTCCGAAACCACCACAGTCGCGGATTTCAAGCTTCCACTACCTTGTGTTGCCTCTGCATTTAAGCAACATCCATTGGGGTGTCGTCATCGTCGCTATTGCTTACAAAAGAGAAGATCCATGCTTTACACTCTACTTCTACGAGCCAATATGCGGATCTTCGTATAGCGATACGATGGAAGCGACTTACAAGTCTACGGTTGTGCCATTTTTGAAAGAGTGGCATGATAAAACCATGCCGAATGAAGATTATCCAGTGGAGAACAGTAAAGTATGGTTAATGTCGCCAAAGCAGCCCGATGTAACTTCGTGTGGTGTGCTGACTATTGCCCAAATTTATTCCGTGTTGAAGGACAGCTTCCAACTTGCACAAGATGCTGTTACAACGGACGATATCGCAATTATGCGGCTTCGTATCATGGGGATGATAGTTATGCAACCCGAAGTTAACACTGTAGCAGAATAAATTGCTAAGGAGATAGAGGCGACTGATTTGGAGCTACTTGCGACCATAACACATTCACACGAGCAGTTGCCTTCGCCAAATTGTATCGATTTTTTAAGTAGTTACGTCGTCTCGTCTTCTTCCTGTGAGCTTTGTATTAAGCTGATTTAAATGCACTCTAATACTTCGCAGCACTGTTTGAGAGCCACTGAGAACGATATTATGTAGCCTGTTTCGTGCGTAGGTACTCCAGCAGCGGCGGCAAGGCGGATAGTCTGTTCCTTCTCGTGAGCTATCATCAGAGCCGACTCGTCTCGTTCATTCATAAGCTCTAGTGAAAACTATGAGATTTTCTCCAGCTATTCTTCTATCTGCTTGGTATTCTGGAGGCGAGAGCGCAGTATTTACTTGCAAACCATTGCCTTTCGAGTGCGCGAGAGATTGGTGCCTTCATTACTTTGTGGCTGTAGCGTTGGGGGGGGGACAGTGGCGGTGGCAGTTGATCGGAGCAACTGCTGTCGAAGTGTTTGCTGCTGCCTTGGTCCTGTGCGCCGAGAGCCGCTATTCCTCTCGGGCTACTGTGATATTTGTCAAATGGCTTCACAGTTTCGGTATTTTATTTCTCAAAAGAAGGAAGCCCTAAAATAAATTAAGCCGTGTGTTGCTTTCGGGGGTTGCTTCTTGTGTACGGGAGGCTGGTAGGTTGCTGCAAGACCTGTCGTTTTGTCGTAATTAGGTTGCAGTAACGGGACTCAGCAGGGTCCGTGACCTCATCAAACCGTACCCATGAATAGCATAAAGCATACGTGAGATCGTCAACCAACATCCATGCGTAAAAACAAGGATATCTGAGAGATTTATCTACGAATGACAGATAGGAGCTATGCCACGCCAAGCATACCCAAGTAAGTAAAGATTAGAGATCCTGGCATGGAATATCATTGACTCTGGCAAAACAAGCAGTTTCGTGCTCGAGTGCAGCGCCACCATCACGGTGGACTGCACCCATTCATGCTTTTCGATGGCGGCGGCGTACTCGGTCTGCTGATAGTCGCGATGGAGGTTCTCTGGAGCGCCAGCCTGGATAACCTCCACAATGTCGCACTGCTTGTCAATAGACCACGAGGAATACATCCTCGACAAAAATTTTACGAGACGCTCGTAAATAAGTCGGAGAATAGCTGGATTGGCGCTAATGGTATCACGCATATCTAGGGAGGCCTGTCTTCGCTTCCCGTTATCGATTGATCAAAACCACCAGTTCTCAGGAAGATCAGCAACACCTCGGAGGGATGTTTCGACTTCATCTTTACTTAAAAAGCAGCGTAGGACGTGGTAACCACGGTTCCACAGGTCACTGAGCATAGTGATCTTGGCAGGAGCACTCATGAGGGAAGGACTTGAATTCAGTTGTAAAATCTGGCCGGCAGCTAATGAATGCAGCCGTCGGCGATGAAAACTAATTTAGTGTGACCAACATAAAAGGAAAGGCGTTCGCAAGGTGCCTTGCTGTTGATTTCGCCAAACCTCGTCCTTAGCCATTTGGTTTTTGGCTACAGTACACTTTATAATACTATCTCTTCCGGCGAATAGCGGAGAGGTTCCGGCGAATGGCACCTCCCCCTCTTCTTTTACGGGAGGATATTGACCAGAGAGAAATGGGTACACGAAACTAGTTGCAGATCTTAGTAGAAATTCGATTAGTACAAGGCAACGAGCAGCGAAGAACTTATTGAAGGCACAGCCCGCCGACAAAATACTGTCATAAAGAGTCCTCCGCATTGTCATTTGACCGTGTCACCCAATTTCGCACTCGATAATTCGTTTTTTTTTCGGATGTAAAATAGGCACTTCATTCGTCCGGCCTGAACGTTTTTTTGCCAGGTTAAAAAGGTTTTGTGTGTCAGCTCAACTGAAGATCAGATTTGACATGCGAAACTAATTTTTAGACCTGAAGCACGCTATAATTCCTAACTTCTCGAGATATCTCCTCTAATGTAGTAGTATCTCATAGCCGCCCTGCTTTAATATGGCAGGGCGTAAAATATAACAGCATTCATGTTCTGGTCTTGCGACCGTTTTTGTATTTACCTAGCAAGCATACTTATTGCATATGGTTGCTAGGTCATCTCATTGGCTTTCAAGTTTTAATATTTTCATGTGCACCGGGCCTGGTCCTATTTTTTGCCATTTAATGTCAAGGTGTTGGGGATATCAGAGCTTCTTCGGTCTTTGTAAAAAAAATATAGAGCTTCCATTCACTCTTCTTCTTCTTCTAGTATACAATCAGCAGAAGGACCTACACGAGCTCAGTAGACCTGCTTTCGACTCCAGCAGCTCAATAGATTAGGTAAATATAGTTGGCGCTCGCCACTTGCGATCCGGTTCACTGTCATGCAGAGCGATGCACACGAGGATAATCATGACGGCGTCGACGCCCTCTGCGATGTCCAGCGAGTAGCCCAACGGCGTTCCTGCTGGCGCCGGGTACATGTGTGCGATGGGTTGTCTGGCCGTGTCCGTCGAACTGCCACGTTGCATCCAAATTTCCATGTCGCCCTGCTCGCCATTCGAGCCGAGTCGACACGTGTCGCCTGTCATGATGTCCATGAACACCATCTCCAGTCTACTCTGCGCCATCGTGAACTTAAACAGCGGCTTCTTGGACGTCTCCGCCCGCGGGTACGACGAGTACGTTACCTTGCGGCGACAAAACGCGCTCATGCGGATGGTGGCCACGGCCACTTCAGTCATGTCCAATAGAGAGCGCTGGCGATGCAACGACAGCGGCTTTTCGTGCACTTCAAACAGCAATTGGCCCGTGGCATTCTCCAGGACGCTACAGACAACATGGCGGTCGAGTCGCCGATCCACATTCAGATGCAGCTGCATGGGCTCGTGGCAGCAATAACCGGCGTCCAGCGCTGCGAGTCCAAGATGCTGCGACTGCAACGGCCTTCGCTTAGCGGCTGCTGTGGTCCCCAGTACAGGCAATGCGAACGCCACTGCGCCGGATATGGAGCGGTTTAAGGAAGGCGGGGCCTTTGAGGCTGATGCAGCGCTGGTGTCGCGCTGGGTCTGCTTACTCTCGGAGCGCCGGCGGATCATCGAGCAGGTTGACAGTAATGTGGCGCAAACAACAATACATTACTATTCAGTAATTATTAGAATATCAAGAATTAAAGTTAGAGCGTGTTCTGGAAAAACATCTTGAATTAAATTATTTTAATACTGTAGTAAGAAACAGAACAAATGACCAATACTGTATGACTGGCTATTTCAGAAAAAGTAAGAGCTATTAATATTAAAAAAAAATAGTACTGCTATTGCGTTGACTTCTTTTTTTAGGTTCCCAAGGTTAATCCTGAATTTCTTCCCCGAATGCTGTCAGCACTTGCCGTGGCACGTGATGTTTAACTACAGCAACTCGGCAGTCACAACCGCTCGTTTGAATACAGAAGGAGCTGCAGCCCCTGGGATACTGACGGCCGAGACATTAGAGAATGTATTGCTAAGTGTACGTCAACGGATAAAGAACAACGAGGCTGAACCTTGTGATGAGATTGTAAGTCCGTACGGCAGAATACCTCGACAAACACGGAAGGCTCGCTATCGAAACCGACCGAATTATTCAGAACCATCCCAATCCAACGCTCGATCCAGACATGAGGCTATCATAAAACGCAGGAAATGCAGAAAATTAGCTCCGATACCAGTGATATCACGCTCTGAAGGCCTAGTGTCAAAGTCTGGGAATCAAACATGTAGTGGAGATACAGGGCTTGAAGCACCAGACAAACAGACAATAGAACACCTACGCTCGGGCTTACAACAGACAAGTTCCAAGCTCCGACAAGACGCCGACCGATTAAAAGATGAATTTCAGTGGATCCACGGCCACTTTCCAGTCTTGAAACTCGCCAATACAAAATGCTCACGTAATTTACGTCAACAATTATTTCGAAATGCAATTCGACACGTCTCCATTAATTTTATATTACGAAAGACTTTGCGACATTGGTACCAGAAATTCCTCGATGCTCGACGCAAAGAACGTCTCCAGTTAAGTGCATCTCGTCGACTAATTGCGATGTTTGAGAAGATCTCGTTCGAGCGTGTTGCTAACAAGTTTAACGCATGGAGACGCTGGGTTCTGGAGTGTCAAAATCAGGAAAACATGGCTGCAGCTATCACGTTACAACGTTTCTGTCGATTTCTTCACACTCGGCGGATAGAACGAGACTCCGCTGAAAAACAAGAAACATTGATGAAAGCTCTCGAGGCATTATCTTGTAACGCAAAGACGATTCAAAAAGCATACCGTCGTCACTGTAGAGCCATTCAACAGTATCGGTTTGATACTGCAGCAAGGAAAATTCAACATATCGAGACGCGGCGAGCAGCGTACAATGGGTTTGTCAAGCGACAAAATGCTGCAAAGCAGCTGCAGAGAAACTTTCGAGCTTACTCAAAGCAGCTTTATAAAAAGCGCACTATTGCGATTGCCGAACTGTTAAATCTCAGTCGTGAGAAGAGAGCACAGCGAATTAAAAAAACTTGGCGTGGGTATTTAACCTGGCGAAATTACGAGTTACCAGTCGAAATTTTGCAGTTTTTAGTTGATCAAGTTGAGTTTCTAGACGCTGTTGTGTCTATCCAGCGTTATTTACGTGGCATTCAATGTCGCTTACGGATGCGACAGAAGAACGATAGCGCTGTTCGTATTCAAAGATTTTGGCGTGCTGGTAAACATAAAGAAAGTGTAAGGAAGGAGCGGCGAATGATTTATCTGCAGCGAGATCTGGCGGCTTCGTGCTTGCAACGCACATTTAGACGCTTGAAGGAAGAGCGCAAGGTTCGTACTGTACTACAGCAGACATTACGCCCGCTTTATCTACGAGCTCGTGACTTTGAAGAGAGTTCTAGGGATCAGTTTCGAGTACCAATCGCTAAAAGCGCTGTGGTCGTTATTCAAATGGCCTGGACACGTCATATAGCGCACGAAAAGAAGAAGCAACTAGTCAGACTGGATGCAGGTATAACGATCCAGCGATTTCTAAAACGCAAAGGTATTCTATCAAAGTGGCAAAGTGCGGTTTTTAAAACTCATCGTCGACATGACGCAGCTCGGAGCTTGCAGTGCTGGGTATGCAACCTTCGCCATCGTCGAACAAAATCTGCTCAACGGAGAGAATCTGTAGCGTGCATCTCTGCAGCGTCGAAAATCCAGCGATGGTACAGATATCGTCACTGTGACTTTAGGAGGATCCTTCTGGCTCGTCTGCTAGCTCAAGAACTTTCACGATGTATCGACGCTGTCAACCGAATAATTCGCTGCTGGAGACGTCATTGTGCTGGAAAGCAAGAGCAAATACGACGTGTGAACACCCTTGCGGATCTCATCAAGCAGCAACAACGTGCTGAAGCTGAAAATCGAGCTGCTCGTTTCATTCAGCGAATGTTTAAACGTACGATCGATCGACGAGATGGGAAATTATTGCTACACCGATACAGAATTCTGTTCCGCCAAGAAATAAACAGAAGACAACAGCGAGTTATCGTGCACAAATATTTGGAGGAGAAATCTCAACCACGCAAGAAGAAACAAGAGACTAAAGCTTTCAGTCTTGCGTCTGGACCATCACTTTCTCTCGGTTTGGATAGCTACTCGACTGAAGTGAGCGCTTTCCCGCTTGATGAAACGCCGAACGAAACGACAGCTAGCGGATGGGCTGATTCGAACGATAGTCCTGACAGTATCCAATACTGGAGCGAAGAGTACCAACGAGTTTATCTATATGATCCTGTGAGTGGATTATCGACGTGGATGTGAAAAATAGCATCTTTTTGCTAAGTTGATTTGAACAATTCGATTATTTCGCTCCGTTTATAAAAATAAAATAAGCGCTGAGACTACTAAAAATTTAGCAAAAGAAAACTACCTGCTTCTGCTGTCATTATCGAAAAAAAGTCAATGCATTCGTAGAGCCACCAACATTAAATAACTTGCTTAATCTACGCTTGGAGAATAATTGGTCGAGGTGTAACACGCTTCTTCAAAGATTAAGCGTTTTGCCCAGATCAATTTCTTGTAGCCGAACGTGTTATTAAATTATCAAAAATAATAATCGCTGTCTGAGGAATTCGTCAGCACCTCTTGAAAGCTAAATAAGCACGCGGAATATGAGCTTTGCCAGGACGAGAAAAGCTACTGAAACAAAAGAAAACTACCGAATGGAATATTGCTAGCGCAGGTTATTAATAATATTAATATTAATAATAAAACTTAAATGCAAAAATTACAGTACCGAATTCGAGCAACAGGCGGAACAACATGCTCGGCTCACGCCAGAAAAGCTATTGTTCATTTAAACTAAATAAATGACGACACTTCTTGTCGAGGGTACTTCGTATCCAAAAACGTTTACGCTCGAAATTATATTGTGTGTAACTTCCATTACCACTCGAGTATTAATGCATGTTGCCTCGAGTTGCATTTGTTACGGAATCAGAACTCAATTGACGAAATTGAAGCTTCATCGAACTGGCGAAGTGTCAGGCCTAGTCTAGGGTAGCTAGCTGTAGCAAGCCCATGAATGAAATGAAGAAACAATCGGTTTTTATTCACGCTCATTTTATGCAGCTGGTTTAGCAAAAAAAAAAGATTATGAGATATTAAATCAAGTCAGGGTCAGTACCAAATCAAATGTTTAATTTAAAAGAGCAATTTTTATTAGCTTGGCAAGAACACTGTTCCAGGGCTCGTGTTTGGCACAGCAGCAGGAATGAGTGCGAATTGTGCTTCCTCAACACACATTCCTGCCACTAACGATGCTCGAAAAAGTATTAGTCCGTTAATAGCTCGGCATGAACTTCCTATCAAGCTGTTAGGAAGAGGTTCAGGCACTGTCTCTCCACCACAGGCAGACTCCGTGCCAACGCACTGCCACAGACTCTGTGATAGAGGACCATCGGCGGTGGCATCCATTCAACGCCCCTTGAAGATTTGCCTGTAGATTTGCCTTCAGATTCGGTGGTCCACACTCTTGCGTTCCAGTGCATAGTCGTGCGGAATGGGATGAGGCATTTGTCGTCGACTGGCGGCACGTGCCTCCGGGCCATCCGCAGGACTCCAGGGCGGATGGACGAGCCGTGCCAGCCAGCAACACAAGCAAACCCATGTGATCGATTCGTCTTCCGATTTGTGACTCAAGCCTTGAGCTGTCACTGTTGCCAGCAGTTTTGGTGGCGTCCACATCGCCAGCTTTTGTCTGCTTGGGACGCAATGCGCCGACGTCACCGCTCTGGATTGAAGTCGGCATAGACGATACTGTAAAATGGTGCTTGGGCTACTTCAAGGAGTCAGAATCTACGGTACGGTCCAGACTGGTGCTTGGAAACGCAAGAATTGCCATGCACTTCGTGCGAATACATGTACGCCAAGGGCGCGCAAGGCACATTGAGAAGGAGACCGTTGCTGAGTTTGTTTACATGTATGTGTACAAGCAACACGGCAGGTAGATAGATAGCTGGAGATGCCACAAGCGGCCAGGGCAACTTGGCGATTCGCAAGCGGCTCTTGGAGTGCAAGTTGTACTTCTGAAAACGCAAGCAATGAGCATGTCCCGTCGTGTGTGACGGCCGCTTACGTCGACACTGTCGACAGGCGCCGTCGTGCGGTGATCGGTACCACCAGGAGCACCGTTGGGGAAGTGCAAGGGTCTGGCAAGTTGCAACTGGCAACGGGAAGCAACAAGTTTGGCAACGCAAACAATGGTGGCAACTTGCAACTGGCAAGTGAAAAAGGAGGAAATAGAGTTCGTGGGTTGTTGCTTGTTATCGAATAAATACGTCAAAAAATGCTACCATGTACATGACACATGTGTCCATCCACAACTGACGGATAAATAAGCTGGAAAGAAAGACGATGTCGCCTTACTTTTTCATCTTGCCACCGTGGCTCCAGCAGTAGCCGCCGGACTTGGGGCCTTTATTGCATCCCTCGAGCTTGCACAGACGCTTGCCGCCATGGCTCCAGCACACACCGTTCTTGCGAGATGCGTTCAAGCATCCCTCGACGGTGCAGCGTTTGCCTCCACCGTGACTGATGCACAACCCGAGGCTCACTGCGTGCTTTGTGCAACCCGCTTCAGAGCAACGGAGCCCGCCACCGTGGGCAATGCAGAAGCCGCCGGCCTTGGCACGTTTGTTGCATTCAGTCATGCCACAGAGCTTGGCATTGTTTGTGCGCTTGGCCTTCTCGCTGCTGATAGCCGGTAGGATCTTGCGGGCGTGCTGCTCATTCAGTTGACTGACAGCAGCATCAGCCAGCAGACTGTTGAGCTCGAGCTCAGGCTGACGAGGCGATACTGTCTTGGTGTCCTGAAGCTGCTTGTAAAGGTTCATGCAGTGCTTTTGCACGGGACTAAGGCTCTTAGGCGTGGCCTCACGGTTGATCATGACACCGATGGAAGGCAACCGTGCAAGACCCTTTTCCTTGAGCGGAGACACTTGCGAGCTGAGCACGTCGCTCATACCCACGAGCCGAGGTGACCACTCTGAGTTGGTTGTGGCGGCGCCTGTCACGGCGAACAAGCTGGGCAAGCGCACAAGGCTGCTCTTGTTGTCTGTGGCAGGCGACGGTGGCTGCTTCCACATGTTGTCGAGTTGCAGGTCCAGAGGTGCGAGGATGGTTTCCATGACTGATGTGGAGAGCGAAAATAAACGGAAATTGTCGAGTTTGTTGCGGCAGTGGGCCGATTCAATTGTGAGCTGTGCGGTTGTATGTCGCTTCGGTTTGGTGGAGCACGGCGGATTTTGAAGTGGGGTGGCCGCGCTTGAATCGTGCCAGAGACGCGGCGTCGACTCGCTGATCTCTCGTCAAGTTCAACCTTGCGCCTCCAAGCGGAAAAAGGTGATTTGAATTGAATAACACGTCTTAAAAGAATTTTTAGCGTTTATAAACAGATTTAATTCGACGTGTCTACCGTACATGTTTCTTCGTGTCGAAAAAAAACCGATTAAAACGTTTCTAAACGTTTTTTGTTTTATTAAAAACGCCAAAAACGACTGCAAGCGACTTTGTCTTTGTCAACAGGCGAAGTTCTGTGTGAAGAGCCATCCTCAGCAGCATTATCAAGCGGCAACCGGATCTTAATTTCTTTCCAACGCTACGTGAAGGCGGAATTGTATTGCGGTGGTCTCGCGCGTCTCTTTTTGCGGAATTCTTTTTCGGAAGCTGCTGGCGTCATTGCGTGGCAACGAAACGCCGTTTACCTTTTCACGGACCGGCAAAGTTCAACAAGCTTGCGGCTGTCGAAATCATAGAGCCACGACTCGTGGCTCTATTGTAGAAGACGATGGCGCAAGGTGTCGGTGTCACTCAGCGGCTCCCCGTGTGGTCAAGTCTCTGCGTCTTTGAAGTTCAATCGCGCCAGGCATGAAGTTCTTTCAGTGTACTACACGAGCTATCGTTGCAAATTCAGTGCTTTATGCCGCGAGTCGCTGGCGCTAGGTCTGATCTTGTTGAACCCACATGTCGTCGGCTTCAAAGTTGTTTCGTGATGAATTTGCAATAAAAGACATTTACATGTACATGTAGTGGGTTTTAACATCGTAGACGGTTCCAGCGTCAAATGCGACGAGCGCTGATGATGGAAAAGCACCAGCTGCTGCATTGCAGCACTTGCCGTGCAAAAGCCGCCCCTGATAACGGCCGCGCTCTGCAACTTGCAGGCCGCGGATTTCCGACTCGGAAATCCGAGGGTGGCGAAGGCGGCGCAGGAGCTTGCACTTGGCTGCTTGGTTGGCGGCCAGTGACGACGCCGACGCGACAGTCGCCGAACGCAGCGCGAGCTGTAGCAGATGTTTTCTTTTCCTCGGCGAGTTCAACGTCCTTTCACGACCACACGTTGCTTCCAAGCAGCATTTTTCTCAGCACGGAACAGTTCCGTTGGCTGATAGATTGACATCGAAATCGCCTGTAGACTCTACAGTGAAGAGTTGAGCACCTCGAGGATTCTTGCAGTATTGTCGACCTAAATACATGTATCTTCAATTAGCAGTGACAACCAGGGATGCCGAATATTGCATTTTTATCTATTGCCAGTCAAAGCAGAAAATAAATAATTGGGTTAGAGAGCTGACTAGACCAAAATAGATTATTGAACTTTCTCAGCTCAGAAAATAGATTATTGGTGCAGCAAAATTGGTACACAGCGAGTGATGTATGGCCAATTAAACACCGCCCAATAGATTATTGGTGCTACAACGGGAGCGAAAATAAATAATTGATCTTCCTCTCCAGAAAGTCTCCAATAGATAATTGGTGCTTTCTTATTGCAATAATTGCAGCACCAATTTATTTTTCGGCATCCCTGGTGACAACGCAGGCGGAGAAACACCTTGTCACTTGCGTTTCAGCCTTGGCGTAAAACCTGCGAGTTGCAGGCTGCAACTTGCAGACACTGTAAGCCTCACAGTGAGACCCTCGCACGGAGGAATTCGACGAGGCTCCGACGAGAGAATTGCCGTTGACGAAAGATTGCTCACCACCGTTGCTTATGATGACCCAGTATGTACGGTACACGCGATAGTCCTTGTCGTGCTGGTAGTGCTGGCAACAATCGCCTACATGTACATGACTTTCTGAAGACGGTGACCGTGTGGGCTTTCACAGTTGCTTTGAGTACATGTAGTACCGGTTCCGAAAACAGTATACAAGGCAAATCACGTCAAAAGCTCCACAATGAAGTCCCCCTCCAGACACCGGACTTCATGGTGAAGCTTTCCCGGCGAGTGTGTATGACTATTAATACAACACGGGGAATCATAGTGACTTAACCTTCCTCTGACGGCCATCATCGCGTTTTTAAAGCATGTGCAGAAGTGTATTACTGTAATACTTCAAGTAGTAAATAAAGAATGAAGACTTATTGTGCATTTCAATGCTTTTGTCCTTCTCACTTAGCCTGATGCTCGATTTATAATAAATAGAGGTCGTTTTATTAAATCGAGGTCTCTAAAAGTACAAGTCGATCAAGCAAGCCTGGCTGATAAATCGACCACTCGGGATCGATCAACCACCATCCACATCGATTTCCTGTAAATCGACCCTTTTTGCCGTTTTGAAATGGTAATTCGATCACAGATAAAACAAATCGATGCCTGCCTTTTCCCATTAAAACGGATGGAGATTCCATCAGCAAAGCACAATAAAATTGCCGTAAAAAGTCTCAAAAATCTATTTTTTTAGACTCGTACTTAAACGATATCCGATCTTTTCAAGACGCGTTGGTATCTTTCATTTTTGATAAGCATGAGGCGTCGCAAAGAACCCCGCGCAGCTATCCACGCCGTTCCTGACGCCGGCGTATCAGTACATAAGTCTAGCAGCACCTCTACAGCACCAACCCATGATGCGTTGTCAATTGGCGATGTAGCAGCCTTGTTGGTGCTCGCTTCGGGGACTCTGCTAGGCTACACTGTGACACTGTATCCGTCAATCGCTGGAGGTGACAGCGGAGAGCTCGTGGCTGAGTCCTGCCACTTGGGCGTCTCGCATCCTCCCGGTTACCCTCTCTTCAATATGGTCGTCCACCTTTTCACACAGCATTTACCGTTTGGTGACACACCAGCATGGCGAGCCAACTTTTTCTCGGCTGGTTCGTCCGATTCTTTGTTTTTACGTGTTCGCCGACTAATTTCAACGTTTATTTCCCTCCAACTCTTGCAGTTTGTGATACAATAGCGGTGATTTTTATTTACCTGAGTCTGCTGCTGTGGATGACGCCGACTGGGTGGTCAGGCCGACGTGTTGTGGCGTTCACATCTGCCGTACGTCACTTTTTTTTTTTTTTTAATATCTCTAGCAACTAGTATGTATATATATTGCAGGCTTTGTTTGGGTTTTCCCCACTTATTTGGACGTATGCGGTGGGAGCTGAAGTGTTCGCACTAAATAATGCTTTTACAGCAGTATTAGTGTTTTTACTGCTGCAGTTCGTGCGTCATCAAAATTTTAAGTCAGCAGTGGCAGGAGCGTTTACTTGTGGTCTGGCAATGTGTAACCAGCACACAATTGTGTTGTTCGAGTTGCCGATCATCACGTGTGTGTTATGGTCCAGAAGACAGTCGTTATGGTGGAAGGAGTTTGCGCAGCTCACGGGAGCCTTTATCCTCGGTTTGATGCCGTATATTTACATGCCTATCACTGCCATTTGGAGCTCTCAGCCAGGATCTTGGGGGGATGTTACCACGCTGAGTGGCTTGATCCATCATGTCCGTCGAGCCGACTACGGCACGCTCCGGTTGTATGCCAGTAACGAGGCAAATGAAGATCTGTGGACGCGGCTGTATCTGTACGCGGTTGATCTTTCCGACCGAGAAATCCCGTTCCAACTTGCAGCTCCTGTTGTGGTATTGGGCGTGTTTCAAACTCTCCGTGCTAGTACTGGAATGAATCCTCAACTTGGTCGGTTCATGGCAATGATGTACGCTTTCTATATGGTTATTTTCCACTCGTTAGCCAATCTCCCGATCCGTGAAGGTCTCCTATACGGCGTTCAAATGCGCTTCTGGCAGCAGCCAAATGTCGTGGTGTTCCTCTGGTTCGGTCTCGGACTTGGCTATATCGTGAATTTTCTTTCAGAATTTGTTGGAAATCCTTCAAAAGCGATGAAGTTTGGGATCTCGATGGCTCTTCAGAGTGCGTGCTTGGCGCTCGTAGGTGCTCAACTCTGGCGCTGGTATCAACTGTGCGACCAAAGTCAAGCTTTTTACGTCAGAAACTACGCACACGCACTGCTAGACCCGTTGCCATCGAACGCTGTACTCTTTGTAAATTTTGATCTGCAATGGACATCGTTGCGGTATCTACAGCGCTGTGAAGGCAGACGTCCTGATGTCACCATTCTCAACCTTTCAATGATGACGTACAGTTGGTTTGCTACGAAACATGACCACTATCCGAATATTCGATTTCCTGGTTCCAGACTCGTTCCCTTTGGCTCAGTGGTAAGGAAATTTCGCTCTTTCAGTTATATTTCTGTTAAATTTAATCACGGGATTTGTCAGGGTGACGGCTTCAGTATGGCTCGACTTTTAGACTCGAATATTGCTCCGAAGAGTACGAAGAAGCAGCTGCGTTTCTTCTTGGGCGGCAGGTTGAGCTACAATGACCAAGACTTCAACGACAAGTACACTCTTGTTCCGTATGGGCTACTTGACGAGTTCCAGAGCTTGTCAACGTCGTCTCCGTCTCTGAATAGCTGGTATTTGTCGCAACAACAAGTCAAGACGATGATACATGAGTGTCTTCCGATGCTCCCTCCAGAGAAATTTTACAATGATGAAACGTGGGAGTGGACAATTGTAAGTTTCAGGATCGTAATAATCTTTAAAGAAACTCACTAACTCTGCTGTGTAGGCTCGAGATTACGGCATGAAAAAGCTCAACTGGGCGACGTATTTGCTGGAGAGAACCATCGCGGAAGACCCTGAAAACTTGACGCTATTAAGTGAAGCTGCTAAGCCTATGGAGTTATCGTACCAATACGAGCCGCCAGAATTCTGGAACGCAGCGTCCAGCTTGAAAAATTTAGGACTCGCGTACGCTCAGATGGTCAAGTCCAGCCAGGAGTTCACAGTCTCCAGAGACCCTTTCTTCAATGAAGTCGTGGGAGCTGGCGTCGAGAACTCGAGGTACAAATGACTTTTTCGGATTCTGAAGAATATATTGATAACGTAAATTTATTATGTACTGCAGGTTCAAGGATCGGGCGTCGGCTAGGATGCTCGAAGTGTGGAATGCGTGGCTTCAAGTGCCGGAGGCCAAGCGAGATCCAGGATACGGTGCTATCAAAAGTGTCGTCCGCAAGTTTATCCCTGACGAGATAAAATCGAGGAAATCCAGTAAAAAATCTCAGCAGCGTACGAAAAAACCCTCGAAGAAACGAAGTTCGAGAAGAAAAAGTGATAAGAAGTAGCCCATTCAATAACCATTGCAGGCTGGAGAGTTACTGGTATAGCTTGATCAATTCGTCGGAAACTGCAGACGGAGTGAGTACACCCAGATCTGTGAACATCAGCGCGATGTATCCAGGCGGAGTGTAGTCGAAGAAAGGACTAGCAAACGACACGTTCTTCATCGTCTCGTCAGTGGGCTCTCCACCAGCAACAGCACCCGAGATCGCAGCCATCTGCTTCTGCGGGACGTCACGCTGTGTCAACGGGTACAGACGAGCGAACTTGTAGCTCTCTGCAGCGACGTAAAACTGCTTGTTGAGTGCTTGAGCGATCACAGCGATAGAGTACGTGCCAATCTAATTAACAAAATATTAGCAATATTTTTTACTAAACTCAAGGAAAAAATAAATTACTTACTGAATTGACAATACCGCCATTTTCCACCACTCCTTCAGCTCCGACAATAACAATGTCCATCTGCTCCATATAGTACGCCACTGCCGAGTCGAGAATCACTGTCGTAGGGATACCCGCCTTCGCCAACTCCTCAGCAGTACTCACTCTAAAATAAAATTACTCTTTTAAAAATAATGATCAAAATAAAAAATAAATTACGACGTACCCGGAGGCATTGCTTCGTCCTTCCGTCACAAAAACGGAAAAGTTCTTGGTCTTGGCAGCTTCACGCAACAACGCAATCACCACGCGGGACTTGCCGTGCGTCAACACTTTCTGCAAGTAAAAAATGACGTCAGCTATGAAACTTACGCGTCCATTAAATCCCGTAAATAAAGCGTACCATTCCGTCTCGGATAAAGTTGTGGCCTACGTCACTGATGCGCTTACGACTGGATAGCGACGTCTCGGCGAAGAGTTTGCCGCGGTCGATTAGCTGCGAGCGGCACAGATCGAAGTCGTCGAACTCAAGGAAACAGCGCGTCACGTAGCGCAGAAACAGCTGGCAACCAGCAGTCGTGGCGATTGAGTTGTGGAAGCGCGTGGCTGAGGCCTTATCGTCTGCGGCTTGGAAGTGACGCAGCTGCTGCGCTGCCTCCTGCAGCTCGCCCTCCATCTGCATCATGGTGCTGGCCTCACTGCGGGTAATGACGCCTGTCAACGCCTTGATAACGGCCACGGCTACAGCCACATCTGGGTCTTCCAGGTAGCGGAGGAAGTCCGTCACCACTTGCGGCTCCGCCATTGCAATTTTTTGATTTTGGATTCGTTCGGCCAATCGATACTGACTTTTGGGATTGGTGTTTGATACATAATATGGAACCGATTTTGCATCAAATTTGCACCCAGACCGGTACATGCAAGTAGCCCATACATTTAGGTCGACTATTGGTATACCGGTATCTCACTACCTTTGAGCTAAGCATGAGGTCGAGAGAGACTGCCTCTATTATCCACTACCAATCTCACTAGCTGGTACTTCGAAGTGAAATCTGTTTTTTTTTATTTTCCACCCCCAACTGGGGACGAAGCTAAAGAGGGGCTGATTCGACTCTGATGGAGACTTGCTTTAAGCGGGCCGTCGCACAAGGCATTTTAATTCATTTCAAACAATTAAAATGCTCTCAGCCCGAACTTGTATATGAAATGCCATCGCTACTTTGGACAAAGGAGCTACGTTATTTGAAAAGGTCAGCAAACTGCAAAGTACGTTTTAGAAGCAGGGGTTCTGGCACGCTTTTTACTGGACATTGTTCCAGTTTCTGTAAACTCGGTGATTCTGTACGTACTTCACAAGCATCTTTGCTACAGCATTGTTGTTCATCTCTGCTTCACCTATCTTGAGCTTGATGTCCTCCATCTTGTGATTATCCCACCTCTTGAACATCTCGCCCCGAACACGTTTGCTTTTAAGCATTGCCTTGGCAGTTTCCGGGGCGAAATTGTATGCTATACCCTCAGGAATCTTCTTGCCTCTCGTGCCGAGCCATTTCTGCGCCTTGAGCCATTCCCTGAAGCTAGAAAAACTAACGGCGCGCTCTTCATCTGCGGCTTCGATGCTCTCTGTAACGGGCCTAGAGTGTCCGTTACTAGCTTACACGTAATAATGAGGAAGCGTGCAAGTTCCGCGATAGTGAAACCAAGTGCTTAGTCTGAAGGAAAATCAACTCTGTTTTTATTTAGGTCCAGGGCAGCTTGCCCTGACCACTCAAATACACGTCAAACCCTTATTGGGTGATAATGGGTCTGGATCCCCATATATCAACCAATAGGATGACGGCAGTTCAGCACACGCTAGCCGTGTGCTGCTGCACCTACTTTTGTAATATAAATCTACCTACTTATGTAATGGCGTGGCCCACTACATCACCCCCCTCTTAAAGTTGCACTTACGCAACATAAGCGACGGGCGGGGAACAAATCAATCAAAAGGGAAACAAGAAGAAAATCGTGGCCAACAGGAACGAACGAGGCGGGGACGAGACAGATCCTGCGCCACGCAGGAGAAGTACAACACGACTTGCACAGCAGACAACAGGAGCGGACGATGGAACAGCAACAGCAGCAGATTCCAGCGACGGCGACGTCGCTGACGAGCGCGACGACCGCGGCACGCGGCACCCACGTGATGAACGAGGTGCTGAGACCCTGGGCCCTGTATGATATCTCCGGAGCGCAAGATCCGGAGTCTCTGGACGAGATGAAGGACCTCTTCCGGTGTTTTCGTGCGCTGCGCCAGAAGCCGGTGGACGGCGTCGACCACAGTGCGCTACAGGAGTCGTGGTGCGCCTTCATCCGGCGCTGGAACCGGACGCAAGCGCAGGAAGAGAATCTCGTCGACTGGATCGCATACCGGGAAGAAATCATCGGGGGCCATTCCTTGGGCGAGCTGCGCGTACGAATCTGCGACAGCGCTTGGAACGCCGACGACCGCATCTGCTACGTGCGAGTTGCTGAAGGCTGCAGGAGGTGTGTGTCGTCTCGCCCGACTACGGACGAGTGGAGAGCCCATGTCCCCGAGCATCCGCTCAGTGATCGCGAGAATGCCTGGATCCAGTGTTACCGTCGCTCGCTGTCCGAAAAGGCCAGCGCCGCTAGTCGCGCCGGCTCGCGCCGACACTCATCTCGACGAAGCGCATCTCCGCCGCTCCGTTGGGATTACGAGAACCCGGTTCGTCGTTCTCGGTCGCGCTCGCGCGATCGCCAGCAGCGTCGTTCTCGATCACGCTCGCGTGGTCGTGCAGACTGGAGATCCCGTTCTCGGCCGCCGCGTGATTATTCGCGGCGCTCTCCGGCGCAGGAAGACTGGAGTCGTACTCTTGGATCACATCCGGGACATCGCGAAGAAGATTCGCGCGAGGCTCCCACGTATCTTGGTCCGCCGGAAAGCCAAGCCATCGTACCCTATAGCGGCGCGCGGCGGGAGCCGTGCGACTGGTGGACACATGGCGCTGCCCCGACCGACGGGGCGGGTCTTTATGATCGACAATCTTCTCGACTATCCAGCGGATCTCGCCAGCTGAGTCGACAATCGGCGGGGGACCGTCCCGCTGATACGACTGACGTTCTGGTTGGGAGCCGCGAGGAAGATCTCGCGGGGAGCTTCTGGACGGCGTATCAGGAGGCGGAGGAGGCCCAGAACGCGGCTGCAAAGGCCGTGAGGACTGCGACTGAGACTCGTCAGTCGAATCGGGAACTCTTGGCGCGCGTGAGGCTTCTTGAGCGCGCGGTACATGGTAGTCTGCAGAGCGGGACGGTGGAGCAGGCGCCTGGTGTGAATGGCGCGATGGCTCGGCGCGCGCGTCGGGCGGGGCGGCCGCTATATGCGCCGGCGGCTCAGGAGACTGCGTCGAAGAAGGAATCGTAGCGGGCAGGTATTGCTTGAGTCGTCCGACGTAGAACGTCGGATGTAGTCGCAGCGACGTGGGGATATCCAGTGTGTAAGCCTCGCCAATAACCTTAGTCACCGTAAATGGCCCAATAAAGCGCGGTGCGAGTTTACTCGCGCCGAGGTTGGTGACGGCAGAGTCTCTGATTCCTGAAGTCGACAGGAGCACTCGATCTCCTGTCGCGAACTTTACTGTGTGTTTGCGGCCGCGCTTGTCCGCGTTTTACTTCTGCTTGTCGACCGCCGTCTGCAGCGCGTCGCGGACGTATCGGGTGACTGCTTGGCGCTGGAGGGGGAAGTCTGAGACAGCGGTGTTATCTGTGCCGGTTGCTTTGGCGCGTAGTTCGCTGATGGAGACACCGCGTTAGCGGTGCCAGGACTGATCAGGGCACGATTCGTCCACGAGGCGAGAGGGGACACTGCGTCGCGGGGAGTCGTCAGGGCCTTCCCGTGTGTCACTGTGTTAACAGTCGCTGAAGATGAGGCTGCACTCGAGGAGAAGTCGGCACCCGGTATGGAAACCGGTTGAGGGTCCATTACCGGTGTTGGCGTAGAAGGCTTGTCGGCAACCGGTATGGTAACCGGTTGTGGGTTCAAAACCGGAGTTGTCACAAAGTGGTTGTCGCCTCTTTCACCCCCACCCAGAGTGGAGCCACACGGCGCCGTGGGACGGCCCACGGCGAGGAGAGCTGGAACGCAAGGGTGCCGAGCGTTGTTGACGAAGAAAGGAGTCAAGCCAGTCGACGCGTGAACCGCGTTGTTCAGCGCGAACTCAGCAAGCGGAAGGAACGAGCTCCAGCTCGTAAACGACGTCGCATAGCTGCGAAGTACGTCCTCAAGGACGCGATTAACTCGCTCGGTTTGGCCATCCGTCTCCGGATGAGCGGCCGTCGACATCAGCAGCTTTGTCCCTGATAGCTCGAAGAGCTTCGTCCAGAAAGCAGACGTGAACCGCAGATCGCGGTCCGAAACAATGGACTCGGGCATGCCATGATGACGGAAGACTGCATCCACGAAGTGCACCGCGGTATCGGTCGCGGTGATCGTATCCGGGACCGGGATGAGGTGAACCATCTTGCTGAACCTGTCGACGAATACCAGGACACCGGAGCGCCCGGCGGAGTCGGGTGGGAGGCCAAAGACGAAGTCCATCGACACCGAGCGCCATGCCTCGGTGGCCACTGGTAAGGGACGCATGGGAGCCTGCGATGACGCGGACGGTTTCACGCGTTGGCAGATCTCGCAGGTCCTCACCCACTTGCGCACCCACTTATACATGTGGGGCCAGTAAAAGTCGCGCGACACTGCGGCGAATGTCTTCTCACGGCCCAAGTGAGCGCCAAGGGGGATATCGTGGAACTCGTGGATGATCCGCGAGCGCAAGTCAGGATCGTTGGGAACCACTACACGCGAAGCATCGAAGCGATCGATGCTGTACGTTAACAGCCCGTCTTCAATCCGATACCTATCGATCTGATGGCGTGTGGAGCGGGACAAAGCACTCAGTGTCTTTTCACTGGGCGAGCGGAGATGTTCCAGGATACTCGAATAGACCGGATCGAATTCATACGCAGTCCGGATTTCGTCGCGGAGTGGGGTTTCTAAAGACACGCTCGTCAGGTTCAATCCCGACGCCAAGCACATAGCACAGTTGTCTTCGTCGTCTTCATCATGCAGCGGTTGTCGACCCAGCGAATCGCGTGGGTCGTAATCTGGACGACGAGACAGAGCATCTGCAAGGATGTTGTTCTTGCCGAGTTTGTAGTGAACCACGAAATTATACTCGGAGAAGAACGACAACCAGCGAGCCATTCGCTGGGAAAGATGAGGGCTCTTCATCGCTGTCCTTAGGGATGCGTGATCGGTATACACTGCGAAGGTTTGCTCGCCGAGTAAGTACACTCTGAATTTAATCAGAGCGCAGCGCATCGCGAGAAGCTCCTTGTCGTGGACAGGATAGTTGCGCTCCGCTGGCTTCATCTGTCGAGACTAATAGCTGACGACCCGTTCACGTCCTTCGTCGTCAAACTGCATCAGCGCACAGCCGATGGCAAAGTCGCTCGCGTCGCAAACGACGTGATATGGTTTCGAGTCGTCGGGAAGAGCTAGGATCGGCGCCTCAGCGAGGCTCTTCTTCACTGAGTCGAAGGCGGCTTGGTGCGCGGGTGACCAGACCCATGTGGCATCTTTCTTCAGGAGTGATGAGAGGGGCTGGATCAATCCGGCGTAATTCTTCGTGTACTTGTGGAGATAATTTGCTAGCCCCAACCACTGACGCAACTCAGTGGGGTTCTTTGGTGATGGCCATGCGCAGATAGAGGACACCTTCTCCGGGTCGGCGCGAACGCCGTCCTTGC